TACATTAAAAGTAACATAGGTTGGCTTTGCTTTCTCCTGTAAAGGTACCATATTGGAGATGAGAGGTTTTGTTCCAATATATATATATATATATATGTGTGTGTGTGTGTGTGTGTGTGTGTTTGTTTTTCTTTCTTTTTTTGGCATATTTAAGTACTACAAGGGGGCTAAGATTTTCACTCACCTTCACACCTGTGTAAATGTGAAGTGACAATAAATGAGAATAGAATGAAAGAATATACGTTTATGGGGTCTCAGACTCTGTGGAGTCCAGGCAGACACGCTAAAACCGACCAACTGACCAAGCTCAACTACTCCAGTCAACGACTCATGTTGTTCCACAGTGCAGCGGTTGCTCGCCCACCGGGGCTTTGCACAGTTCAGCTGCACAGCTCGCCTGAAGAGGTAATTTCTAGTAAACAGCCATGTTGCTAAAGCCCAGGTGCGCTTCGCTCACACTTTTCGGAGTGCATCTGGCAGGCCGTCTGAAGGGAGTGAAAATCTGCGCTGTGTGTTTGTTATTGTAAATGTGAACAGTGTGCTGTCCCCTCTTTGTCCAGGTGATTAATCATTGTCTGCTAGTTGTCTGGCGCCTCTCAATGCTAACCTGACTGAATCCAGTTACAGCTCGACACCGTAGCTCATTTTAAAGCAGGTAGTCAAAAATGCGTTGCCAGATAAGGTTGATTGTTTCAGCAAAGTCATTTTAGAGTCTGGAGATAAGCAGCCGGTTAGACCTTCTTGTTGGACTTGGATGTGAAGGCTGAAGCTTGTGTGCAGTTCATTTGGTGTGATCCAAACGATTTTATTCAGTAAGCTTGACAAAATGTACATGCTAGAATTGCACTGTCTATTACAAAGTTTGAGAAAATACAGTTATTTAATGAAGGATAGAAAGCAACGTGTAGGGCTGGGCCATGTTCATAAAATTCAGCATCATGATATTTTCCAAATTTATCACGATATCATGATATCTGATAATATTTGTTTGCATCGATAAAGTTAATCAATTAGCATTAAGAAAGTTAAGTACGCTAAAAGAAGTTTAGTGTATTTTCATTTTCATCTTCTAAAACTACACCAAAGGAAAAAGCGCATTTCTAGAAAGGCGACTTACTGTTTACTTAATTTCTATTGTTTATAACTGTTCCTAAGCTCCTAGTAAACTACATACATTGCAGAATACCTTGAATAAAGTGCACAAAATAGAATTTGAAAGCTAATAACAAACTACTTGGATATAATACTCGATAGTTAGATATGTCTAAAATTAATATGGCTAAAACTGAAAAGCAATAACACAATGGGTCAATATCACTCTATTCCACCATAGGCGACATATCGCCCAGCCTTAACAATGTGATGTCAACTATATTGAAGCCGTCTCCAGCAGTACCTCGATCAGTAGACTTTTAAATCAGTTCAGTAAAGGGTTGGTGATTAGATAATATGTTATCGTTATTGTGATTACTGTAGCATTTCTGAGTGTCCTTCTCAGTACTTCTACAACTCAACAACTGTGTGTATTATAAAAGGACAGATTTAGGCTAGAGGTGCACCAAAATTTAGGCCAGCGAAAATACCACTTTTGACCATTTTCGCGCAGAACTTTTCAGTGGGTGCTAAAGGAAATGACTGAAAATGTTCTGTAGAAACAAAGATTTAATAGGTCTACAATGAAATGTCAATAATCAAAGACAGCGCAGACCTGTTCACACAGTTTGAGCAGCAATAAATCAGCAATTTAGTGGAAGTATTTCCCGCATTTTTGTGAGGGATATTAGACAGGTGATTAATTGTCACAGTTCAGTTTCAGGAGAGAGTACAACACTCAACTTCTCCATTGCTGGTTTGATACCACTTCAAAACCTGGCATCCAGCTTAAAATGCAGGATACAGCAAAACAACAGAAGCAGAAAAGTAAGTCACGCAGACGCGATCGTTAAATTCACAAACTGCACCCAAAATGCAAAATATAACAAAAAAAAAATTCATTTTTAGCCCAATTGGAATAGACTAGTCTGATTAGTCTATTCCAATCAGACCGTTAAGAATGCAGTTTGAACGAGGTGGGTAATCCTGTAAATAATCTGTTAAATAGAAGAACAATATCCGTGTAAACACCTGTATCTGATCACATTCCCAATCTGAAAGTTTAAGTCCGTTCTGATCATGTTCGTCGCATCATAGTGAAAGTTTATACTGTTCAACACAGCGGAGCAGAAACTGGTCTGCAGAGGAGACAGTTTATGCTCTGATCTTTAAAAGACGGCGGTGGGACGGACGTCCAGCTTATGTGTCTCAGAACACGACATCTTCCTCTCGGCCTTCTTTAATAAGGACATGTGAAGGACGTTTTCCTGAGTCTGACATCATTTTAAAGCAATTAAAAAACACAAGCACTGCTCACTGCTGCTCATCTCACTCTGACTGGACTCACGTGATGCTGGTTGTCATGGTAACATCTACACTAAGTGGTTCTCTGTGCATACTCGTGATTTTGGATCGGATTGCTTGTAGTGAGCAGGTAAACAGAGATTTTCCATCAGAGTGTTGAGTAGAGTGAGCATAAACACCTCAGTCTTAATCTGTAATCAGAATGTATATATGTCTTTGCTGTATTGGCCACCCTTATGTCCAGTAACATCTGTCCTGAACTGAATGTGTGAGTTTAGTATATCTTAAATGTTCTGACTATGTGGGTTAGTCTGCAGGCTGTAGGTGGGTCTCAGTAGACCATGCCGAACACATTGTTACATTGCTTTTCTCAGATGCAGTAATGCAAAGAAATTCACCCCTGTGCTGTTGAAATTCAATCAATGCTGGGGTAAATTGCAAAGGTTAATACTGTTCATTACAAAATCATATTGTGACATTTTGTTTCCCACCTCTTTTACCATTTGCTCTTATCACACTTCTTCAGCTTTAACTTGTTAATTGTGCTGTAATGAGACGCACTGACTTTGCATACTCGATGTGAAGTTCTGTTGCTTTCTTTTCGCCTAATAGCAGATAAGCTTGACAGCACTGGTCATACAAGCTACTGTCCATCTACATGCACATCCTACTGCATTCCCCCTGTGAGGAGTCTTAGCTGGCTTTACATGGTGAAACGTTTGTGCACCAAGTTGCAGGTTGCAAGTTGCATGAAACTTGAGACTTGCACGTTGACAGTTATTCAATGCAATTCCAGAATGGTCAAAGTTGCATACAACACATTTGATTATTCCAGTAGTTATCAAGATTAGTAGCCATAGAAACTGTAGAGACTATAGAAAAGCATTGCGTGTGTTATTTAGCCTACGTTTTGTGTCAAAAGAGCAGGAAAAATGAATAACCTGAGCATTTGAAATGCATGTAGTTTAGGGCTGAATGATTTTGACAAAATATCTAATTGTGATTTTTCTGATCACTATTGTGGTTTCAATTTAAATTGCAATTGTTTTCTATAAATTGTTTTCTGAGGTTTGGGCCTTTTTTGTGGCTAAGAAGACCAGCGTATACTTTTTCTGGCTTGAGGCTCAAACGCTTAACACAGTGCACCAGCCTGCCAGTGGCTGTGATGTCACAGTTTGGTTGCTTCTCATTAGTCAAATTCATCTAAAAGCAGTTCACAAGCTCAGTTTAATTAGGTTACTCAAAACTTGCAATGTATCCACATTGACTATAATAAGAATTGCAGCTCTCGATTTCGATACTAAATCGATTAATCATTCAGCCCTAATATAGTTTGTTGTGACTTCTTGGTATGATATCAGGATTTCGGTGCAAACAGGAGTTGAGGTTCGAATAAGTTCCCAGTGAGCGCAGGAGGCTTTACGCAAGTGAAATTCAGTTTAATGAATTTTCAAGTAGCTGAAGTTGCGTGAAAGTTTCACCATGTAAAGCCAGCTTTATAAAGCCCACCTGACCGGCTCTCCGGCCGGCCCATTCCAGAGGAGAGCTTGCCGAAGTCTTTCCTCCTCCAGAGAATAACTCCATCATCCCCCGTAGTCACGCACCGCTGCTCGGCCCAATTAGCATAGTGTCCTCTGCCCGTTCCCTTCTGCTGAATCAGGAGTTCCGATCAGAGTGAGGCGATCGGTAATGGAGTATCGACAGGTGGCCGTTCCGGCCTCCGCGGACCCGCAGCCTGCTGTGAGGGGGGGGCATCTTAGCCCCCCATTCCCTTAATTACTTTTCCACATCCCATGACACACTGCTGACTTCAGTGAGTTTCCAAATGAAGCTCGGAGATTAGCTGCAATAATAAAATAAGATGGAGCATCTGTGGGATTTTTATTGCTATGGTTTTAGAAAAGTAGAAACAAGCAGAATTGTGTTTATTTAGACTTCAGAGCATTTTTCACTTTGGATTGATTGACTGCGAGGTATACGTTTCAAGGAAGTAGAGAAAAATCAATTGTTTAAATTGTGAGTGAATTTTTTTCTGTTTGCTTTTTCTTTGGGAGCTGGTTGTTAATTAGTTTTTGAAAGTGTAAATCTTGGACCATGGATGCAGCGCTGGGACCGAGGGACTCACGCTGCAGTGTTACTGCTCTGGATTAATCCTCATGCGATTCAACTCACACCATTTGCAGCCCCCCCATTTTCGGCCTGAATCTCGCTATAATGTGGCATTGGAGACCTTTTCCAGTCTCAGCCATGGTTCCAAGTGTATGTGTGGGGGCTGTTTGACTCAGAAGGATGCCATGATGCGATAAAGTAGCACTGTCCTGTGTACTGAAGAGTAAACGGATATTTACTACATATAATGAGCTTTTGTTTGTTGTTGTGTAATTACAGTATATGTACAATATACATAATGTACAATGTTTATTACAGTGTCAGTAGCAGTGAAGGTTATTACAATCTCTAACATTAACATTACCAGCGAATAAGCACATCTTTCCCTCTTGGACTATAAAACAGACTGGTAGACAACTGTATTCACATCTCTCTCTCTCTCTCTCTCTCTCTCTCTCTCTCTCTCTCTCTCTCTCTCTCTCTCTCTCTGGCAGCATGTACCGCTTGCGGGCGTTGGCGGCAGTCACGGTCGGGATGGCGCAGTCCTCGCGACGATTTCACAGCAGTGCCTTCCGCACCCCCCACCGGCGCAGGCTGCTGCTGGCCGCTCTGGCCGGAGTGACCGGTGTGTCTGCCACTACAGGACTGCTCTGGACAAGGTACTGCAGCAACACTGGACTATTTAACAGGGTTTTAGTTTCCCCCTGAGCCAAATTCCACTATGCCACAGTGCCGACAGACTGTTGGATAGATGTTTGTGTTCACAGGCCTCTCGATGTAGTAAATAAGAAAAACAGTGTAATTCCTGAAAGAGCCGATTACATGTGCCGGACGGTGGTACTCTTGGGAATTTGCAGCTTTTCACCAACTGAAAAATTAATAGTTAAGAAAACCACCTAAACCAACATTTGCCTTTTCTTGACATTGTTACAGCTGAATTTAGTATCGTATATAATACCTACAAATGTTTCTAACAGTAGTGGAACCCTTTTTAATGACACAGAACCTTTTTCTGAAGGTTTTCAGTTAGGGTTCTTTGAGCGTTCTTTAAAAGTTCCCTAAAGAACTGTATACATCATGTACTCAATCATGAAAAAAAAAACGCTTAACCATGAACTTTGGCAAATTCTTTTGACCATCAACTGACCATTAAAAATGGGACGCGACTCATCAAAATATAAATTCTAAAAAATTTCCAATTCTGAAATCCAGATGGCCACTATAAAATACTTGATATACGTACGCTGATGCCTACAACAGCTGAACTCTGTATTAATGCACCAGGATATTAAAAAGTGTTCCTTGAATGGATGGTGGAATGTAGTACTACATAGTACATGTCCTTCTCTAGATATTTCCACACACGTGTGATTTCCTCACTCCGCCACTCATCACACTTGCTTTCAGAGTCTTATTGCTTGCAGATGTTGGTACGTCATTGCAGTTGTGCACTGAATAATAAACCTGTCTTTTCAAATAGGAACTGTTGTTTGTTGGAAATTAAAAAATTTGAATCAGATTTTTATCCTCGTCAATTAATGGTTAATCGGTAGATCATTTCCATGCCTACAAAGAGCCACTTATGTACAACTATGATAATGGTTTCTTGGTTTCTATTCTATTATGTATATATGTATGTATATATGTGAGTGTGTGTGTGTACACACACACACACACACACACACACACCTATACATCTATATAAACATAAATATATGAATCAAACAGACTGTTATTGTTATTCTGCCTTAAAAACAGATATAAGATCTCTGATCTGATTATCCTGTTTTGTGCCTCAAAAAGCGCTGAAGAGCTGAAACACCCCTTAAAACTTCAGTATGAGTGGGCGGAGCTAAAGTGCTGTAGAAATATGTATGTGTGGAAATATGTAAACGTATTGGTTTCCATGACCTCACAGAAGCAGTGAGTTCAAAATAATTTCCATATGTGGTCTGTATGAAGTGGGGCGTGAACGGTACATGTCGAGACTTGAACAGTGTTTATATGTAGTCTACTACATCAAACTCTTTTATTTCTAATTCAGTTTTCCATGATATGGGCTTTTCAAGGATGTGCATTAAATACCTCATTTCAGTCAAAAGTGATCAGAGAAGATCACAAAGATGAAGTTCGTCTTTAAGCCCAGAAGAACTGACAGTTATATGAGAGGAAGACGGGCAGATGAATCTGTGGTCTGTGAGTGATGTGATGGTGATTATGGGGACTGAAGATTTCTTCTCTAATGCTCATGCACATTATCTCAAACGTGGATACTGCCAGTGTTTCTGCTGACAGATGTACGTGCATGAACATATTGCTGTCCATCTAAGTGGTGAATAGTTTGTTGACGTTATTTAGAGATAGAGAAGTTTGGCAGAGAAACAGCCTAACGAGTAGCGCAGCTCCAGAAGGCGAGCGCACAGACGGTAACCGACAGCTGGTAGTGCTCGTAGTTTGTCCTGGCTCTCTTCGGGAATTTTCATATGCAGCAGCGCTTTTAATCAAGCTGCTAATGTTTCTGTGGCGCAAACGCGAAGTGTTCTTGTGTTACAAAAACCCAAGAAGGTATTAGGTTTTGTCTCATCATGAGTGATTTGATTGCAGACATATTATGCAAGAAAGAGTTGATGTAGGTGCCTGCAAATGAATTTGAATGAGAAAATGCATATTCCCTACGTACCATAATGTATTTCCAAGTGATGTACAGGGTGGAGATGGTGGGATGGCAAAGTGAAACATGATATTGTTGTTTTATAACATTTTGCCTACCTTCTGGTGCACAGTGATGTGATCAAAAGACTTCCCATATGTCTCCACATTGGCCAGTAAATAATTTGCATTTATGTCTATAGAACTGTACAAGAATGTTGGACCTCGTTCACCAATATCTTCTTAAATTTTTTCTTAAATGTGTTCTTAAGAAAGGTCCTAAGAAAAAGTCTACGCCGGATTTATGACTGTTCACACCTTTGTGTGAACAAATCCCAATAAGAAAACACTGGTGAATGTCAGAATCTTCGTATAAATGGGTTTTAAGAAGAAATTTCTTCTTAAGAACAGTTGGTGAATGAGGCCCATTGTTAATAGTTCATTAAACCAGCGCTAAATACTGTTTGGACTGTCAAGTTTATAAAAAAATGCCCAGCAACAGTTAAATAAACCGGGTGTTGATTTTTTGGGAGCCATGAACGCTGAACTTCTCATTGTTGAAGTTCAGGATCAGCCATTGTTATGCAACAAAAGCAAAAGAGCACAGAGCATTCTCCTACCTTTCTACTTTCAGTGAGAAATTCGACACTGATAATCCTCTAGGAATCATCCATTTTTGCTGGTAATGCTGTCACCATGGCAACGTTTCCATCTCTTTATCCCGTCGGTCGTATACTGCTATGAGGCATGGAATGACGGAATTTTTCAAAGCCAACATGTGATGGCAGCAAAAGAGATAAAGAGAGGCTGGAAAAATTGACTGTTTACATAAAACCACACAAATGTGTGTCAAAAGTGGAGCTCAGAGGAAAAAATTGGGAACAAGATAAATGTAGGACATAGGCCCTTTAAAGACCAAGAACCTCTAAAGACTACTGTGATTTAGATGGTAGAAGCTTAAAGCAAGGCCAGGGGTCGGCAACCCAAACGTTAAGAAGGGCCATTTTGTCCCTTCAGCAAAAATTAAGCCACAATATTTTATGTCCATTTTACTATCTTGGCTGTAAATATGCCTCAGTGTGTGCTGATGTGTTAGTCTAGGCTAACAAATCTAATATAAAGAAAAAGGCAGACTTACTTTGCTCTGCTTTAAGCTTCAGCTCAGCTCTAGCCACTTTTCTTGCATCTCCAGCAGGAAACTTTTCCTCAGAAGGTAGAATAGTTTCTTGTAAAATGTCTCTCAATGTTCGAGGCTGAAGTCAGCTTCTTATTTGCCAGCTACTTGTTCGAATTTTCCCGTTCCAGCTTAAACGGTGCCGCAGGCGAACGAGAAGCTGATTGCATCTTCGCTACTTTTTAGTGTTAGACTGTTTCTCATTGCAGATTAAACATATCAGGAAAGCAGCTGGAGTGATTATGAATGCAAATAAGTCCATACGTCTCCAAATCATCAATATTCGTCTTAAATTTCTCTCTCTGCCTTTTCGTTAGCTAGGTGAGACTGTTGTCTGCGTTGCTATGGTGACCAGCAGTCTGCGCACGAACCTTCAGGGTTAAAGTGTGAATTAGCAGTTCTACATTAACTCCAGCATTTAAGACCATTTATTGTTAAAACTGTGTTGAACGATCAGCAGAGCTTTATTTTACTGCAGAGGAGGATTATTTTATTTTTACCTAAAAGTCTAATTCTGCTGTGGAGCCGCAACAGGACAGTAAAAAAGCCGCATGTTGTCGACCCCTGAGCTGACGTTGCTTCTCCAGCACAGCTCACCTGCTGCACTACTATATCAATAATTTGATCTATACTGGATTGAGATCTGAATTGAATGCAACTTTATTTTGGCAAAAAACAAACAAACAAAAAAATACCTTATAACAAAATAAACACTTTGAAACAGACGTTAGCCTGCTGTGTACATATTCTCATCCAAGTGGCTCAGCCTATTTAATGGTAGGGGAAACGCTGATGTGTGAACATTTCACAGTGAATGAAACAGGAGAAATGATCCAGAATTACTTAAAATCTCATAACAACAACCTCCACTGGAGACGTCTTTCCTTTTTCTATAAATGTTCAATTTTGGAGAATCAAGGTCTTGTTGCAACAGCAATTATTATTTTTTTACGCTGTTTATAAACAATGTTGTAATGATTTCTATCATTTTATCTGGCTGTGTTGAACTAATCGTTGGATTTGACAAATAAGGCATTTGAAAGGGTTCAGACTCCAAGAGCGGGTGTGAGTGCGTTGCAAATGTGTTAAAATCACAAATGGCTTTGAGGTCCATGATTGTGGCTTTTAACACCATCAAATATTCCATGTGAATTTGGACTGAAGCCTGTACTTGATACAAATCAAGCAGGTTCTCTGCATGCACCAGCAGCATAGATATGATCTGCAGTTGTGGCAGCAACACTGTGTATCTATAGCTGTCAGCATGCCAAATATGACAAGTTCTAAATCTCAGGACTATCAGCTGTGACTGATATTTGGGTGGTTATGATTTCTCCTCCTAACCTGATCATCCAGTGTGTTTTTGCTGTTGTTTAGAGTTACTGATGTTGGGATAAACGCTGCTCTGTCTCCTGACCGGCAGGGCCCACGCAGAGGCAAGCTCATCCGTGAGGCATGAGGAGGAGCTGCGGGAGGAGGAGTCTCTGAAGGACGTTACGTCGGAGGCGGAGTCAGACAGCGTGGTGGAGTCCAGCAGCAGTGGAGAGGAGGAGGAGGAGGCGAGCTCCGAGGGGAAGAAAAAGAAACAGAGAATCGGCTTCCGCGACCGCAAGGTGATCAATGAAGTGTCATCCACGTCACCTGTGGCAGTGACGCCAATAATCATGAGTCAGCAGTAGGGCTGGGTGATCTGGCACCCAGTGACATAGGTACATGGATGTCACTGGATGTAATCAGATTTCAGTGATGATTAACAAGTAACCCGGCACTGATGACACTGTTGACAGGTGATAATCACCAGTGTTACAAAAGGGAATTGAGGGAAAAATAGACAGCCTAATTTAAATTTTAAACTGCTTGCCAAATAATACTAAAGAAAAATGATCCAGGATTTTGCGACCTTCTGTACATTAACGTACCCCGTTTTTACTGCTGTTGACTACGGCTTGTTAAAACAGATTGTTATTAGGCCTGTCACGATAATTAAATTTTAGCTGATAATTAATTGCCATATGAATAATTGCAATTAACAGTTAAATTGTCTTTTTTGTACGTTATATGAAAGTATTGAAGTAAAAACCAGGGACGAAATTGACTGACTGTCTATTTTGCTCTCTAGCTATTGATACTCAGCAGTGCTTTGACACGAGAAACAGCTCGAGCTCAATCAAACAATTATCACTCCCTGCTGCCCCCTAAAGGCGTCATAGCACCAACGTAGAAGTTAGAACTTTAGTTCTTTTATCAAGACCCATGATGTGTCAATAAATGCTTTTTCCGTGGTTTTTTATTTACGTGTATTTGCCTCAGATCAACTGAAGAAAAGGCACAACCGGCAGCTGCAATCATCTTAAACAGTTGCACACACACATTTTCTAAGCCGCTTATCCTTCTGGGCTGCAGGGGGTGCCAGAGCCTATCCCAGCAGTTATTAGGCTGAAGGCAAGACCCTGGACAGGTCGCCAATCCATTGCAGGGTAGACACACAGACTTACACATTCACACTGGGAGAACATGCAGACTCCACACAGAAAGGACCCTTGTCGCCTGGCTGGGAATCGAGCCCAAGCCCTTCTTGCTGTCACTGTGCCAATATCTTAAATACTTGCGATCAGCATTAATACTTGCAGTCAGGAGATTATGTGATAATTGTGACAGGCCTAGTTGTTACCTGCCATTAATGAGGCATTGAGCTATATTGCAGTAGACAATTTCCCACTGAGTCCCAGATTGTGATATTCTGTTTGTTGAAAATTCTAAGCGTTTTCCACATACTTGAAGTATCCAGATGGTTTGGATGAGCTGAAAAAGTATGAAACTATAGAATAAATATAAAATATATAGAATAAAAATATAAAATAAATATATATTTAATGCTTTGATTTGTAACTAAATTCGAGAGTTAATTATAATGATTGTTTTGAAAAGCACCTCATGGTCTTGGCTTGTAATTCACATACTTTCTCACTCATGTTTAGCAGCCTGGGCTAAAGAGTCTCCACAGTGGGAAGCTATTAGTATCATTTCATTATTTTTACCAAGAAAATATCATGATAATTATTTTTTATGAAACTATGAAACACAACCTTTGTCAGCACAACCTCGCCGTACAGCAGCACACAACACACAGCTTCCTTCCCTACCTCCACCTGATCACAGCGCAGATCCACACGCACAGCGCCAACCTGCCTGTATCTCATACCCTCTGCCTAAATTGAATTTCATTTTCCGTACCATTATCAGAGAGGTGGCTGGTTCCCGTCCAGCGGGCCTTCGTTACTTTAACACGATAGCCGAGGTAAAGAATAGGGATTATAATCGACGGTAGGAGCAATGGAAAATGTGATTTGGAGACAGCAGCCTGAACAAATGGGCCGGCTTGCCTGTGGGCGTGAGGATGGAGGCGACGAGTGGGGGCGAGAGATGGGGAGAGTGAGGGGATATTAAAACAACTGAGAGCAGCCACTGTCCTCTTATACAGAGGATTTCTCTGAGACATTCGGTTTACTGAGGATGCATTACATATTGGCATTACATATTTTTGGTTATAAGTATTAAAATGTAAACATTTTTTATTATGATCAGTCTTATTTTGGAATTTAGAGACAGTAATTACAACTGACACACATGTAGTCACTATTGGTGTTTGGCATTTTTGCTCTTTTCAGCTTAAATGGTGCATGGATAACATCACTGCCCCACAAATGAAATGGGGGTTTGTTTCCCCATAATAAAAACTCCTCTTACTTCACTTCTAGTTTTACATTCTTGAACATTGTAAGTGGCTAAATAATGTTAAATATTTAGATGAAATGTAAATGTTTACAATATTTGTCACATCTAATTTGTTACGGCATGGCTGAGTAAAAATAATCTATGATCTTTAACCTGCTCCATGCTCACTGGCCTGCGTTAATGGATTATTTGAAATTCTAAACTTATCAGTTATTGTATCAGACCAGAGACTTCAACTTGCATTGCATAAATAATGGAACATAATGACATAATTAATTATGTAATTACTTACATGCATAAATTCAGCCTTTTGTCATTTATATCACTCTGGTCCTGGAGGGCTGGTGGCCAGCACAGTTTGGTGATTTGCCTCCTCAAACACACCTGATTAAACTTATCTGTAAATTCCCAGGTTTAGTGTGTGTGTTTGAGTAGTGAAACCTCCAAGCTTTGCTGGACACTGGCCCTCTAGGACCGGAGCTGTGCACCCCTGTTATATCACATTTTAATTTATTTAAAGGATGTTTTTTCTTTAATGAAATTGTAAAGGGAATTGTTGGCTGATGCCAGTATCGGATATTTGTCATGTACATATCTGCCAATACTGATACATAAACATTTATAAAATGCAGAAACTGGGACATCTATCTGGATTAGTGTTAATGAGAAATATAGTTTTTTTAGAGGTTAGAAATGCAGTAAAATCAATAAAATACAGATACTTTAGCACAGTAACCCAACATCACCTGAACATTCTGCTCGTCCATCAAATATCAGCTTCAAATATCGGTAAATTGATTTTTAGCACCAAATTGGCTGAGTATCCTTTTTTTTGGCCAATTTCTATTAGCCTTAAACCTGAAGCTTTGACGTGGACTAAACAGACACATAAAACACATGAGCGCATTTCTAATGTTTCCTGTCAGCCAAAGTTGCAACATAAATAGCATTATTTGCTCTTTAATCTGTGCATGTTTAGCAGAGGCGTTCAAACACAACACATAACCTGCCTCACATCATTTACATCATAGAATGACCAAAACACACACACACACACACACACACACACACACACACACACACACGCACATCCTCTAAGCCGCTTATCCCTCTGGGTCACGGGGGGAGCTGGAGCCTATCCCAGCAGTCATTGGGTGGAAGGCAGGATACACCCTGGACAGGTCTCCAGTCCATCGCAGGGCAGACAGACAGACAGACATATACATTCACACACACTCACACCTAGGGGCAGTTTAGCATGTCCAATTGGCCTGACTGCGTGTTTTTGGACAGTGGGAGGAAACAGGAGTACCCGGACAGCGCTAGCCACTGCGCCACTGTGCCACCCATGACCAAAACAAACATAACAAATTGGCTAGTCATGTGTTTGGAGCAAAACTCTACTCAGTTTCTGTTCATGCGTTGCTGATCTAAACGTGTTCAATGCCGATAATTTTTTTAAGCAATTAGCTGCCGATGCCAAATGGTCCAATATCATTGTGCAGCCGTTTTCTTTACTATACATGACAAGTTTTCTTTACATCATAATAAAATATCTTTATTACTACTTACAAATGCAAATGCTGTATTGGTTAAAAAGTGTGGAATCTGCAGTTTCACAGCTTGTTTTAATAAGCTGCGAGTGAGAAGTAATTAACGTTAAATTACAGCATGCTTTTGTTATTACTGGTGTGACTTATATGGATTAACCTGGCAACTCTGCCAACTTTTGCGTCGGCTGTAAACAGTATACACATTTATGAGTCTTTTGTAGAGTGGTTTTTTGTGCTGTAAGCTGTACTGTCAGAAAAGCAGAGCCAATTTCTGAGTGTAATTGTATTGTTCTTTTGCGTGTCCTCGGGAGTCTCGGGGGGGAGCGCCGATTGAATTTCTCGACATGACTGCTTTCTGTGTGTGTGTGTGTGTGTGTTTCACTGTAGGATGCTCTCTTTGTGTGTGTGTGTGTGTGTGTGTGTGTGTGTGTGTGTGTCACTGTACGAGGCTCTGTGTGTCTCAGTCTGATTTGTTTAGCTGCTCTGAGTCCTGCAGTAAGGTGGAACGGCGGTGTGGAACTGGAGGCTCAGAGTAATGATTTCTTCCTGTGCTGCTTGTGTGGGGACAGCTACCCTTTCACTCCTCTTCATTCATCAGCTGCTCCGAACGGCAGAATTTACTTATTCAGCTCTGAATTATAGACGTCATGTTGAAATGTTTGAATGTAAACCCGATAGCTTTTTAATGAAATTCAGATCGCACAGCATGATGTTGGATTCTGGCATCAGTCTGTCGGTGATTGATGAGGGCCATTCATCACCCAACAAGCAGATGACTGGTGTATGTGTGTGTGTTTGCGCTGTAGGGAGCTCAGTGCAGTGTGAATGGGAGATGATGTGGCTCAGATGAGCCTGGCTTCTTCAGAACTCCTCTGTCTCCTTCTCACACCCTCAGATGATGATAATAATAATAGTAATATTAATAATAATTCGAGATGTGCATTTCCATAAAGAAATGCTGATTGGTTGTGCATTTTAAGATATTTCCAGATATCAGCTAAGGTGTTGCTGAATGGTTACTATGATATTTTAGGTGGTTGCTAAGGTATCTGAGGTGGTTGCTTGCTTATTGTTAACTGATTGCTGCAGTATCTCTGGTGGTTGCTAGGGTAGTGATAGGTGGTAGTTTAGGTAGGTGTTAGGCTGGTAGGTTACTACAGTGTTGCTAGGTGGTTGCTGTGGTACCCAAGGTGGTTGTTAGGGCATTGCTAACTGGTTGCTATGGTATCCCAGGTGATAGCTAGAGTGTTCCTAACCAGTTGCTATGCTACATCTGGTGTTGGCTAGATTGTTGGTAGTTGCTGTGGTATCCAAAGTGGTTACTA